GGCTCGGAGAAAATCCAAAACACACTGGATAGTTTAAGACCAAAGACCATATTTTCTGTGCACCCTTCCTTGACTTTGGTGAATATTTTCCAGCTGAATTAGATCATTTCGAGGGGTGAGAACCAGAAGGGCGTCAGTGACATTTTTGGTGAAATGGAGATATATATATCAAATGAAAGCTCTTAATGAGCTCTTTCTACTGGCAAAAGTACTGTCATCCATGAGTGTACAAATTTTTATTATAAACAATTGAAATCAGTACACAAAGTCAGATCAAACTATGGTAAAATTTTTGTTTTGGCTCTCCTGTAAAGTTGGTGAAATGTCACTTACGCCTTTCTGGTTCTCACCCCTCGATTTGTAGAATAATGAGTCTCATTCATTATTTATTTGGAATTTCTGCGTGAAATCTGTTTGAATGTTTTCACTAAAAAAATTGTGATTCACCAATAAATTTCATATTAAAATTTAGTATACATTTACGAAAATATGTAGGAACTGAAACCACACATACGCAACAATTACATACTGTGGGTAGCGTTATAAACATGTTAAGATTAAATCTTATACATCGATTTTTTTTTATCTTAGGGCCTATAAAAGAGTAAGAAAAAGTGTGTTCCTCTACATAAAAACACAGATACTCATATATACAGCTGGCTAAAGAGAGGTCTGTAAACCGGGTCTGTATAATACATGATTATTGTGTTTGAAGTGGTTTTAAAGATGGCACACTTGCTTGGCGTTGCTCGAGGATCTTGCTGCACGTGCTCTCAAAGCGAGAACGCGGCTTTAGATAGTGTCATATGTGATGAGAGTTGTGAGGAAAGTCCTTATATGGAGCTGGTTTGGAGCATTTTATGCAAATTACTAACTTCAGGCACACGGTTGCTCATCTAGAGCATGCAGATTAACATTGGAACGAAGTACAAATGAACGAAGTACAAATTCATATACGTACACACGTATTGAGAAGTTCTCTTGTGCATATAAATACGAATAATCCACGCAATGATTAGTGAATGAGACCCAATTTCTGTTAATGCCAGTTTGTGGAGTGTAGCATTAAAGATTATTTGATGATTGTTTGGCTGTGCTTTTGTGTCTCGTATCCAGGAGTGTGTGCAGCCTCTTGCCTCAGGGAATGTGGATTCTGTCTCCATGGATGGGCCCAAAGTCTACTGGAAGTTCTTGGAGTCCGCAGGTACCTGCAGAGGCCTTTGGAAGTGCCCAGCTGAGTGTGGACGACACACACTCCATAAAGCCTAACAACGCGGATTTACATTAAGACAGTTGTAGAGTTTGCAATGGGCAATATTTTAAAATTTCAGACAACCTGGAAATAGAGATTACATACAGATTAGCTGGCAGAACACACACACGTTTTGCACCCTGATACCTCAGCCCATCATAGTATGAACATCTTTACAATGATTTTAATTATTTAATTAAAACATCGTATTTTAAAAGATTGTTAATGTGTATATTTTTCTATTGCAATGCACATCAAGTAGCCTAGATGATTTAATCTGTATATCTTTGTTACATTGTGACTTTGTAAAAATGGCTTATTTTGATGTTTCATTCTTTTTTTTATGAACACTAAAGTTTTCTTTATCTCAGTATGTGGTACTGAATTCCATGTTGTCAGTTAATTTCAGAGTAAACCCTTTAGTATTAGGCTGTAAAATATTATAATAAAATAAATAATAAAGTTATTTTAAAAAGATAAAGGAGTTGATTGCAACTTTTTTTTTATGCAAATCTTCCCACATCGTGACGTAGACATGTGGGGGCGTGTTAGAACGAGCCGTTTTAGGTAGGCGTGGTTGACTTAACTTTTATAAAGAATATCTCTTTGTATTTGAGACTTTAGTCTTTGCAGCTTTACAGATCTTCTTTATGCACCAAGAGCTTGTATCACTTCAAAGAGAAAGGAAAAACTGAAATCGCATCATATGACCCCTTTAACACAAAATCTCATTATTTGTGAATAGCCCCTAAAAGTCAATCCTAAAGCATTTAATGAAAGCTTTTTCTTTATTTGTGGAGAAATTTCCTTACGCTTTTATAACTGTACCTTGCATGTCTGTTCTCTGAACACAGGTCAGCTGGACCTTGATCTTGACTCCGAGTTTCTCCTAGTCAGCGTGGTTCAGATCCTGGGATTCAGCAACTCGGTGTGTAACCCGCTGGTTTATGCTGCCCTCAACACCACCTTCAAAAGTGACCTGCTGGCTCTGCTCACCCGAGGATGTTCGGGTGCAAGAGGTTGCTGCTGTAGCTCGTGTTCCTGTTGGTCCTGGAGGAGTCACAGACGAGTGGGCATCTCAGCAGTGGAATCAGTGGAACCCAGACGGGGCCTGGAGACAACATGTAGACAGGGAGGGATCAGATCGTGTAGTAAACCAGCATGGGATGCTGAACCAGAGAGGCCTACGTCTAACATGTTTCCCCCCATGAACCTTCTCAGCGCCATCAGGCCCAAAAAGACCTCCAGTACCATGATACTAAGTGTTATTGACCCTCCACACACAAACAGCACGTCTGGATCTGACCGGCCTCTCACAGGGATACCTGGTGAGTAAATGTCAACAAAATGAGATCGTAATGATACCTGAAACTCATCGACTTAATGACTTAGAAGACAGTCCTTCAGGAGTTTTAAACAATCGCAAATTCACAACTATAGTCATTGTTTTCATTTTTTGCTCCCACAGATAATGATGTAGATTCAACAACCTGTAGACGGCAGTTTTCAGACCTTTGAAGGATGTTTTTGTTTTTGGAGCTCAGTTAATATCTCCACAATAAGGATGGGAGTGAGTCACCAATGAAAGAAACCGAGATGTTTTTGAAGTACTTTCAGTCTCTGAGCTTCTGAAGACCACGTATGAACAAGACCAGCTACAGCACATCATTAGTTTTGGTTCGGCTCGGAGAAAATCCAAAACACACTGGATAGTTTAAGACCAAAGACCATATTTTCTGTGCACCCTTCCTTGACTTTGGTGAATATTTTCCAGCTGAATTAGATCATTTCGAGGGGTGAGAACCAGAAGGGCGTCAGTGACATTTTTGGTGAAATGGAGATATATATATCAAATGAAAGCTCTTAATGAGCTCTTTCTACTGGCAAAAGTACTGTCATCCATGAGTGTACAAATTTTTATTATAAACAATTGAAATCAGTACACAAAGTCAGATCAAACTATGGTAAAATTTTTGTTTTGGCTCTCCTGTAAAGTTGGTGAAATGTAACTTACGCCTTTCTGGTTCTCACCCCTCGATTTGTAGAATAATGAGTCTCATTCATTATTTATTTGGAATTTCTGCGTGAAATCTGTTTGAATGTTTTCACTAAAAAAATTGTGATTCACCAATAAATTTCATATTAAAATTTAGTATACATTTACGAAAATATGTAGGAACTGAAACCACACATACGCAACAATTACATACTGTGGGTAGCGTTATAAACATGTTAAGATTAAATCTTATACATCGATTTTTTTTTATCTTAGGGCCTATAAAAGAGTAAGAAAAAGTGTGTTCCTCTACATAAAAACACAGATACTCATATATACAGCTGGCTAAAGAGAGGTCTGTAAACCGGGTCTGTATAATACATGATTATTGTGTTTGAAGTGGTTTTAAAGATGGCACACTTGCTTGGCGTTGCTCGAGGATCTTGCTGCACGTGCTCTCAAAGCGAGAACGCGGCTTTAGATAGTGTCATATGTGATGAGAGTTGTGAGGAAAGTCCTTATATGGAGCTGGTTTGGAGCATTTTATGCAAATTACTAACTTCAGGCACACGGTTGCTCATCTAGAGCATGCAGATTAACATTGGAACGAAGTACAAATGAACGAAGTACAAATTCATATACGTACACACGTATTGAGAAGTTCTCTTGTGCATATAAATACGAATAATCCACGCAATGATTAGTGAATGAGACCCAATTTCTGTTAATGCCAGTTTGTGGAGTGTAGCATTAAAGATTATTTGATGATTGTTTGGCTGTGCTTTTGTGTCTCGTATCCAGGAGTGTGTGCAGCCTCTTGCCTCAGGGAATGTGGATTCTGTCTCCATGGATGGGCCCAAAGTCTACTGGAAGTTCTTGGAGTCCGCAGGTACCTGCAGAGGCCTTTGGAAGTGCCCAGCTGAGTGTGGACGACACACACTCCATAAAGCCTAACAACGCGGATTTACATTAAGACAGTTGTAGAGTTTGCAATGGGCAATATTTTAAAATTTCAGACAACCTGGAAATAGAGATTACATACAGATTAGCTGGCAGAACACACACACGTTTTGCACCCTGATACCTCAGCCCATCATAGTATGAACATCTTTACAATGATTTTAATTATTTAATTAAAACATCGTATTTTAAAAGATTGTTAATGTGTATATTTTTCTATTGCAATGCACATCAAGTAGCCTAGATGATTTAATCTGTATATCTTTGTTACATTGTGACTTTGTAAAAATGGCTTATTTTGATGTTTCATTCTTTTTTTTATGAACACTAAAGTTTTCTTTATCTCAGTATGTGGTACTGAATTCCATGTTGTCAGTTAATTTCAGAGTAAACCCTTTAGTATTAGGCTGTAAAATATTATAATAAAATAAATAATAAAGTTATTTTAAAAAGATAAAGGAGTTGATTGCAACTTTTTTTTTTTTTTTTAATTAAGACATTTTTATGCTATTTTAAGCACATTTTACCTTGTAAGCACCACTATTTATAAAAAGGAAAACATTGTTCTGTTAAATATATTATAAATGATTAAAAATACAATAAGACATAATGACATTATTATCAATAAATAATAACAATAAATAGTAATAATATAATAATTATTATTATATAATTAATATTTAAACACAATAACACCATGTCTTAAAACATAAATTGGAAAATAATAATAATTTTCTTTCTTCGACTTCTGATAGATGAACTTGTCAGGGAACTTTCTGGTCATTTTAAATTTTTTTATTTTATTTTATTTTAAAACAAAAAACATTCTACAAACAACTTTGCAACAGCAAACATTTTACATTCATAAACGAGCAAACAATTGTCTAAGGGGGAAAAAAAAGATACAAAACTTCTACTCTACTTCACTGAGAAAATGAAGCGTAGAATGAGCGAGCACTGAGGCATGCGTCTGTGTTAGAGGCGTCAAGGCAGGAACAACGTGGAGTCAATATAAAACTAAAAAAAAATATGTATAAAATCCTCTGAAAACACAGAGAAATAGATGGCACTGAACTGCTCAGAGGTAAAAACTCCTGCATCTACATTTGAAGAGACACTCAATATTAAATTCAGTGCAAAAATATTAAAGATGTAAAGAAAAGGCTGTGAAGATGTGGGGAAAAAAAAGGTCCCTTGAAATCGATGCAGGTTTTTTTTCTCTTGCTATTCAACTCTATGTCAATAGGTGGCAGTGCCTGCACTGTACGACAACTCTACAATTTAAGAATTACACAGGGAAGGCAGGGGGAGCCATTTTGTTCTGATCTAATTTCAGCTTTCGAACTCCCAACAAGTCGGTTTAAAAAGTAAAGCTGATGTCAGATATGTTCTAAAAATATATTTCATACACCAATACAGCTACATAGCTATACAGCCGAGTCAGATGTCACAGTTCATTTACAGCTACGTAAATGAATTAAGAGGCCCTGTTTATTTAGATAACAACTTGTTCATTTTAATTTCAATTTGTTCCTTCGGTTCAGTTTTTAGGCAGCACTTCATTACGCTATGCTCTTAGGGCTTGCATAAATATAAATCTATTAGTTTTGTTTAATAAAATTTTTGACAACTATGTACATACTAGACAAAACGTAACTGAACTGTAAGTAGTTTCTGGGTGAGCATAAATTTCCTTCATCTTTTAACTATTTAAAAACACGTACCTGTGCACTACCGCATATAAAAACAAGAACAGCGAGCAGAAGTTTGAAATGCCTCCTTATCCTCGATATTAATTCAATCTGTGGAAGCAGATACAAGCGTCCAAGAGATACTGACCCTGGTACTCTTTCAAGCTTTTCTTTAGCTTTTCAGAACATGAACGACTAAATTCGCTGGGAACAAAAAAAAATCCACAGCGAAGGACACGTTTTGTGATTCATATAACAAGAAATGATGTGTCAGTAGTAAGCGACACACTTGGGCTAAATGCAGAAATGTCTTCTTAGCTACTGAAAAACTACAGGAAGATGGCATTAATCTGCTTGTGAAACGTCTGGAAGGATTTGTCTGGTGAACATCTGTCATGATAAATGCTTCAGGAACACTTACTGTAGGTGAATATTGGTAACAGGTATAAATAATACGTAATTACACAAAATAAATACATCACTTGTTTAAATATAAATAAGGAAAACGGAACAGGCAAGAAAGGCAGAGAAGGTTGAAAAACATCTCGTCCTTGCACCAAACAGATGAAGAAAGGTCAATTGTGGAGAATAAAAAAAAATATTAGAAATCACCTTTCACAGACTGGCATAATTCAGGGGCAGCATATTCTGTAACAACCGAAGAAAAATTCACGTTCTGAACGTCACATGAAACCCTAAACTGCTGACATGCGTCTGAAATCCCAAACTCATTCTGAACCAAGTACTAAACTCATTGAAGCATATTTGTTCATTTGTAACCGAGTTCATTAACAAGGTTTGGTAGCTAAGAACAGAAGTGATTCACGGCAGAAATATGACTACATGTATTGTGAAGCTTGTGCCTGTCAGTATGAACACGTAAGGCACAGAATTAAATACACTTGTTTTAGTTTGAACATTTGGCGTAACCAAAGGTTTAATGACATCTATACGTAGGCTTTGGACCATCCTGTAGTTTAAAAGCCTGAGGCCAGTGCATCAAGTAACATTACTACAATGCACGGTTTAGAGGGAACACAGCGCCCTCTGCTGCTAGCCAGTGTAAATCCTCAAAAAAAGGTCCAGTGTTGGCTTCTAAACCGAACTTGGGCACTACAGAGAGGTGATTCTCCAATGTCTCCGTAACGGGACATCAAGTTTATGCCATGAGACCAACAGACCCACTGAGGAGAAATCAAAGCAAATCTACACCTCTGTTATTTCGTTTTTTACTCAACAAATATCTTGCAGTCTTTAAGAGACGTTACTCATATTTGTAGTAGCCTCGTTCAACAGCCTTGGAGGTGATGTGTTCTGCTGAATACCGCTGATCCAGGTCTAGCAGAGCCTGTAGTAATGTGTTGATGTTTGCCCGCAGGCCCTCTTTTTGCATCCAAACCCGCAATAGGTCGTACACTTTGTCCATAGGCTGCTGCATTTCGGTCAGCTTGATGGCGTTGTCGCTCACGCCGATGCTGCGGAAAAACTTGTTGTGGTACCGCACATCCAGGGAGTCAAACAGGTCGAAACTCTTGCTTAGAGACTCCTCCTCACCTATTAAATCAGAGCAATGAGACTTCAGAACATGTATAATGGCCCTTTTGAATATGAACTTGAAAAGATCCAATTATTTTAATGAAAAGGGTGCGTTCTGTACTTATAATTAGGGTTAGGAATGATTAAAATACAGAATTAGTTTTACATTTATTTTCTTTATTCTAAACACTTCTGTTCAGAAGTTTGGGGTCAGTATGATTTTTAAAAAAACATTTTCAAGTAATTATTCAGCAAGGATGCATTAAACTAATCAAAACTCAAACTCAAGACATTTTAGTTAAGAGTTTTCTATTTCAAATAAATGCTATTCTTTTGAACCTTCTATTTAAGGAATCCTGAAAAAAATGTACCACAGTTTCTACAAAAATTAAGCAGCATAACTGTTTCCAACATTGATATTATTGTTTCCTAAGCACCAAATCAGCATATTCGAATGATTTCTGAAGGACCATGTGGCACTGAGGACTGGAGTGATAGCTGCTGTAAATTGTCGTAGGAATAAATAACATTTTAAAATATATTAAAATAGAAACCTGTTATTTGAAATTGTAATAATATTTCACAATAAAATAGTTTTTACTGTATTTTTGATTAAATAAATGCAGCCTTGGTGAGCAAAAGAGACTTACTTCATTTTTTAAAAATCTGACTGACCCAAAACATCTTATTTTTATTTGTATCCTTTTAAAAATTTCTTTCAGTTCCATTTTTGGTTTTTGAACATTTGCACTCTTCAGAAAAACAGAAAGAAAAAAAAAAGAAGAGACAATATATCTTTCTATTGCACTATTTATCTTTTTATAGTTAATTAATCTTACAAATGAGTCTAAACTCACAAACTGAAACATTGTGATGTCTGCTGATGTCTGAATTAACCTCTGACCCGGTTATTGAACTGCTAAAGTCACATTTACTCAATATAAATCAAGAATATTCTCCAAATACTGTGTCTGAGAGAATATCTTACCAAGTACAGGAACAAGTCTTCTGGGAGGACCATCATCCTACATAAAAAAAAATAAAAAATCTGATTTAGCAATGTTGTGAAATTAGTAAAATTTAGGAAATAAAGGTTTCTGCTTGGGAACAAGGATTTTTCCACACATTTGAAGGCACTATCTTGTGGTTTCACTGCATTTTGATCTAAAAAGATCGTAGTTCTTACTAACCCCTGCCCATGGCTCTGTAACCATCTCTGCCTGTCTTGGGGCTGGGGGACTCGATTGTGGCGATTCCTTGTTGTAGACTGCAGGAGGGAGGGGAGATAGACTGGTTTGGGAAGAGCTGGTAGTGTTTGGCAAGCTGTCGCCCAATCCCCGGTCCTCATCCTCCACTGGTATGCTCTTGGTGCATGTTTCCTGTGTTTCTTGCGTCAACAAGGGGCGGGACTCTGGGCGTTGCCCCTCTTCCCTCTCTAATCCAGCATTGCGGCTGTTCTCTTGTTCCTCTTCTGATCTTGGGAGCTTATCCTAAGTGATGTCAAGAAGAACAACAACTTATTAAAACTATAAGTTAAAGTAAATAATTTAATTTAAAAAAAAAAGTAAATTATTTTTAATTATATAATTTAATTAATATTTAAAATATTAACTATTATTTTAAATTGTTTTAATGTAGTTTATTTGCAGCATCAAAATAATATTAAGAATAATATTCATCTAATGACTCAAAATAATGTTTAAAAAGCCAACAAGCACTTACAATAGGAATTTTCACTTCTTCCAAATCATCAGCAGGGCCTGAAATAAAGTTAACAGCAATTATGTCCATAAAACGCATGTAATTTAAAGCAGTTTCAATAAAATAAAATTAGATTTTCCACTCTGCATAATACTATGAATGCATTAAATGTTGTACAATATACTTTAAATGATACAGATATAACTGCTGCTGCAATGTTATTCAATACAAGGAATAAAAAAGGATTTTTAACATACTGCTTAGTTGACGTTGACGTCTCTTATAGAGGAAAATTATTCCAAGCGGGATGAATATCAGCAGAAATAAAATTGGTATAACAATCGCTGAAAAAGAAAAGAAGATTAAATATTTCCTTGATTCACTGCACGATGCAGTGTAATTAAGGTCATGGTTGAGTCACTTATTTTATCAATTTAATGTGCCCCTATTATGCCATTTCCAATATTGCCTTTCATGCAGTGTGTAATATAGCTGTCCGAAAATGCACGATAAATAAAGTTATTGTCTCCCAAAATAAAGTATCGACTCTGTACAGCCTAAACGAGTCGTTAGTAATTCAAATCCCACTTCCGTGACGGCTACACGTAACACATTTGCATAATTCCTGTCTATGTTCTACGTTGGCCGGCCGCAAACAGACCGCTTCTCTAATCTTGGAGAGTTCAACGTGGGATTCACAAAACGCTTGCTCTTGAAAGATGGCTCAAGTAGTACCCTGTTTATTTGGACCAGCTGGCTCCACTGAATCACAACCTGTAAGTATGATAAATAATAGATGTTTATATTTTCTATTGAGGGTTCAAAATATGGAACTATGGCAATGGGCGTATCGTTTCCGACACGCACTGTAAGCGGTAGACCAATCACAACAGACTGGGCCATCTGACCAATCAGAGCATTGTAGGCTCACGGAAAGGAAGGTTATAGAGAGACTGAATCTAAGAACTGCTTCGAATGAATTATTTGAGAATCGCTGGAAAATGAGGTGATATAAAATGCATATTTTGAGAAAACTAAAGGATTTTTTGACCTTGCATGCATGTAATCCTATTGTAGGAGCCTCCCAAAACAATATTAGGAACCTTAAAAATGGCATAATAGGTTAAGTTAATTTTGGACTTTTGTACACTTGCCTTACCTATAGTATTAGTGTTATTTGATGCCGAAGGATTGTCCGTTGGACCTTCTGTCGGAGGAGAGTTTCGCCTCCTGCACTTCGTATTGGATGTCGCAGTGCAATGGCTCACTTCTTCCTCATCAGCTTTGCACCTGCAAAACCACAGTCAAAAATATGCTTTTTAGAAAAGGTGTGAAGCCAAAGGCTTAAAATAGGAGTCTTAAAATGATCGTCATTATGAATAGCACAGTAATAGCCTCAGGGGTTAAAGGTGGAGAGGGTGAATCAGTGGGAAAGGGATCGGACTCATTGGATGTGGTGATCTAAAGCAGAGGCTGGGGCTAAAAGGTTAAGAGAATAGAAGGTGGGAGTGTCAGATCTGTCTGCTTTCATCTGGGTGTTGTGCTGCAGAACAGAGGTCAAATGGGAAGAGCATGTTCCAGAGGAAATGAGAAACTCACTTGGCACATTTCTTGCACACTTCACATGGCTCGTCCAGCAGGCAGAAGGTACCGGGTTTGCATTCACACTTTGTGTTGCTTGTGCTGGTGCATTCTGCAACCACGATCTGATCTGTAAAGGGAGGAAGAGAAGGATGAAGAAATCAGAACAAGTGGGAGAGAAGCAATGGACCTAATGGTTTTTGCCTCAGCAAACAGTCCAAATGCATGGGACAATTATGTCTCTGAATGGTGACCTGAGTGTGGGTCCAGATTTGAGTTCAGATTCAGAGAGAATGATTCAGTGTCTATCGGTTACAGCTAACATCTGCCTCGGATAACAGCTGGAATAGAAACACTTGACAGACGTGTGTTAAAGTCTTAAAGGGGTCATATGATGCTGCTAAAAAGAACATTATTTTGTGTATTTGGTGCTGAAGGGTGAACTGAATGATTGCATCAATCCAGATTCATGAGAAGAGAATTCAAGAGAATAATCCAGCTAGATTCAAAAGCTGTAATGCACCTTTGAAGGGTTAAATTAATTATTTAAATGTCAGATAAACCCAGATCCTGATCCAGATTTAATCCACATTTAGATGAAATAATACAATGTATATATTTGAAAACTAATATCTGCCTCAGCAGACAGTAGAAATGCACCTCTGCAGGGTAAAATAAAATAGTTAAATTTTTGATAAATCCAGATCCTCCTGATCCAGATTCAATCCAAATTTAGACAAAAAAAATGAATCAATGTTTAAACGAATGACTGGATGAATGTTCAATCAACACAGATTCAGTTTCAGTCCAGAATTACATTTACATTTAGTACATCTAATGTCTGCCTCAGAGTACAGCTGAACTGCATGGAAAGTCTTAATCAACACACCCTCGTGACTCAGCAGGCAAAGGACTAACCTGGGAGTGATTAATTGCGCAAAATAGATACCGAACAAGATGCCACATGATACAGGCACGCCCTGCATCATCCTAAAACACACGCATGCACACAAACCTGAACAAGAGACACAAAGGTGCGCATAAACTAGAGGATAGATCAGTCATTCATACACACACAAATGGCTAGTGAAAGAACACAGGAGTAGGGCCACACCCAGGACGTGTAACATTAGGAGATCAGATTCCCAGGAGCGAGGCGTCCAGCACAGGAAACACTAGACTCAGCTCTATTCATGGGGCCTGCTTATGTCCCCGTCCTCTTGAGAATCCTATGGGAGGCTTAACGGGCGAGCGAGATTTTGTTTATACGAATATGTAGTGTTTACAACTGAGTTTGGATCTGAACAAGCAGCAGGGTCTTGTGGGAAAGAGTGTTTAGGTCAATCAATGACTTAATAAACGGTGAATGTGGCTGTCCAATCAAAATAAACAGCAGTTTAATGGATGGCTTTGACTTCATAGCTTATTATATCATCTCAGAAATGTTGTTTTGTTTTTACTAATTTCTGTTTTTCGACAGCAGATTCAGAGGTTAATTGTTTGTCCAGTAGTCACCGGTGATGGGCATGCCAAGGAAGGACCATGTGTGTTCCATCATTCGAGATGTATAAATGTTACATTCCTGAGTGCTCTGCTTCTCTAAAGAGTCAGAGCAGACTACAGATGGCTGTCTACTGGAAAACTCAACAATCAATTACAAAAGCAGAAGGTGGAGATTTCTGTATCTCCAAGTGCCAGTCACAGACCTGACTCAAACACTTACTTTAAACAACTCTAAGAGGAAGATCTGGCTTTGCCTTTTACAAACATCTAATTGTGATATTGACTCAAACTCAGGGGTAAATGGCTAGTTTGGAGTGGAAAGTAGAGAACATTACCTCTGTGGCACTGGCTGCACTGCAGACACTGCTCCATGCCTGTGGGGTGTTCGGCATACGTGCCCTTCTCACATGGAGAGCAAATGCCCTTCTCCTGGTCCCTGCTACACTTCTCTTTCACATAAGTGCCTGTGAATAGAAAAAACAATGTGTTAAAGAAAAGATTTCATGAAAGACATTAGATCATAAGATATGGCATTTGGAGAGAAAAGTAGAATGGGAATCAGTTCTTATTTAGAATCAAACTCATTTAAAATAACTGTATTATTAAGACCACAGAACGCAACATTTTGCCAAAGATTGTTCTTGGTATATATGCTGACACCAATGATCTAGTATTAAAATATTAATTAGCATTACTCTAGGGCTGTCGCGATTCGTCGATTTTATTCGACTATTCGATTTTTAAAAATCCTCGACTTCATTTTGCTCGCGTCGACTAATCGGCAAAATACCGGAAGTGGCGCATTTCACGGACGAGAATCCATAAAACACATTATTAGTCTGTTTTCCAAGGCTGCATGATATATTAAACCCATTTAAAAATCTTAATTAAGCATAATTGTGAATTCACAAATGCTACGATTTAATTAAATAATTATATGTGATGCAGTTCTAATACAGTATATGCGCTTTAATTATTTACATGCGTGTAGCTTAAGTACGTGCGTTACACAGCGGCTCCGTTCACATTAGCTCCACAGGAACTGTTATCATTTACATGTGTGCAGTGTCTCAAACTCCATCTCTGCATGTTGTTGTGCGTTTGTGTTTATTATAACGTTCATCTGGGAATGCAACGTGCGCCATTTCATCAGATTTGGATAGAATTCCCTCAATAGAAAGGTAAATAATTTATAAATCCACGCAAACTCAGGAGAATACATCGCAGTTTCAAAATAAAATCTCAAACCCTCACTCTGAGTTTACACGTTTTGATGTCCACATATTCTTTTAATTACAGTGGCTATAGCATTTCTGTCCTAAAGAAATGGCCAAATATTAAAGATTAAGTGGACATTTGAATGAAATGGTGCTTGGTAAATATTAAACAAGTATCAGATCAGGCAGCAATGTGTAAAAATAATCATCAGGCTGTTGGCGCCCTCTGCACAGGCCTTTGTTGTAATGCGTAATGTACATTAGCTCTATTGTTTATAACACATTATGTATTTTAACAGTTTTGTTCAATTACATTTTTCTCCTAAATAAATTCTGGTAAATACTTCTTTAAAAGGTTTTAAAAACTTTTTAAAAAATTATTTTTATTATTAGTAGACTAGAACACGTGGATATGTTGTCATTCTTACACTATAATACTTTACTTTGATTTCAGTGATTTGGACTATGAGACACTTGCTTCTTGCACTCTATGTTGCACTTTACCTTTGCTTTAAAAAAAGGATTTCAAAGAAATTTGTAAAATTAAAAAGTAAATTTGTAGATTTTTTTGTGGGAAATTTATCGTTTAGATTAATCGATAAATTAGTCGATAGATTAATCGAAATAAAAATAGTCGTTAGTGGCAGCCCTACATTATTCCTATGAAAAATGTACCTAAGAATAAGTAAATTTTAAGTAACCCCCTTTTTTTTTTCAACAAGACCACAGAATGCAACATTTAGTCAAAGAATGCAATTTTGAGTCCTGTTTAAACTGCATGCCTCCTTTTCGTCATATTGAAATGTCTTTTAAAATGTTTTTTTTTTTTTCTTGGTACATATTCTGACACCAATTATCTAGTAATAAATTATTAATTAGCATTTCTCATATGAAAAATGTACAATAAGTAAATTTTAAGTAATTTTTTTCAAGAATGTATTTTTGTCTATTAAGTGCCAATATGTTTCATAAAATAAATGTACATTTATAAATACATTTATGCCATTATGTTTCACAAAATTAGCTCGTTTTATATTAAACATTAAATTCTCTCATTATATCATTTGTATCATTATATCATTACATTCCCAATACTATATTTCCAAACTCTATATTTTGTGTTTAATTCCCATCAGGCAGTTTGGTGATTTAAGCTGCTCTTCATGGGTGCTTCATGTTTGCAGAGAGCGAAACACATGCAGGCCTCCATTCCTGTCATCTTGGATATCTAAACACCAAGTCCAGGCCTACAAACACCTCGTTTAGCACAAGCCTTACAATATCTCTCAAGAGACCGCAGCTCTATGATGAACCAGAGTTTTACAAATGAGAATGCTGAGTTTAAGGCTAATGAAGACTGTTCTAAAATAACCATTTTGTTATTTTCATCAGAGAATAATACTCTTAATAGCAACACTGACAGATGTTTGTCAGCACCTCATCAAAAAAGCCTGGAAAGCCATTTTAAACATCTTGAAAACCAGTGTATGCTTTAATTTACTGCTTTGAGCGAGTCGAGTCATTTGTGTTTACAATACTGGCCTTCACAAGGGAAGTTCTCACGGTTTGACAGGAACTTCAGAGATGGATCTTCACTGCAACTTACCGGCTTCACAGTTCTTGCAGCAGAAGCCATTGTGAGGGTACTCCTGGTTCTCCACGCAGATAATCTGTCTTGCTGTGCGGTTCTGGAGGTCTCCTGCAAGCCCAAGCTCTGCCGCTCCATGAGCCACATGAATCAAAGCAATGATAATAGGGACCTGGAGAACGGGGGAAAAACAAAATGAGATTTTTCTATATGCATTCATGATGACTTACAATTCATGTATCATCCCAGTGGGTACTTGGAAAGATTTTGGTTTTACTTTGTTAAATCTGTAAAAAATAAATTATGACTTAAATATTCAAAATAAAAATATAATTACTATTTTAGAAAATATCAGGATTAGGTTTGTCAGTAGATTAATTGTGATTAATTATCATATTTAATGCATTTTGTAAACTGATGCATTCAGCTACTTCAGTTGAACTAAAATAAGATAAAAAATAAAATAAAATAAAATAATAAATGACTGTCGTAAACACTTAAGACAGCAGATGTCTTTACTCTTCTTCTTATTAACATTATTACAAATATCACAGGAATAAAGCCGGCAAATGACTGTTAAATGTCTCATCTGGATTTCATTCATAAAATAATTTGTTGTTGCCGTTGGTGTAAATGAATAGGTATTTAAACTTTACTTATGGGGCTGCGGGGGTACACAAGACAAAAAAAAAAAAGGCTGGGAAGAACAGTAGATAAGAGGTTTCTTCCAGAGAAATACCAGTTTTGTACTTTCACACGGCTGCAGAGTTGTGCTCTCTTACACACATTTAGCCTTTCTTTCTCAGTTCCAGAGGCAAACAGAGAGGTATTCTGAGTTCTCATAGCTGACCTTGTGTGAGCAATCTAGCATTTAATTCAAACCATCTGATGTGCACATCTGCAGAGCGAAGCAAATGAACAGAGCAGGAGAGAGTCTTTTCCTGGACCAGAACCAAACAACCTACCCTGACAAAACTCTTAAGTGTTCTATGGGATCCATGGAAATACCAGTAAACGTTTAAAAAACAATTTCTCAAATGGTGGGAAGAAAGTATACTCTGACAAGGTCACAGACAACAGTGCAAAACAATGCTAAATGCAAATAAAAAGCAACTAATCCTATGATTATACATATTTAGGACAGCAAAATAAACAGGCATGTCAACTTTTAAAGGGGAGAACAAAACAAGTCCAATAAAATGTGTAGTTGATGTCAAAAGGCACACAAATAAACTCACCAGTAATTAATCTGTCATTTGGACAAGATTCTTTTGATTCATTCGTTTAATTAACTATTAAAAAAACCTCATAAACTCAAGTTACCAATTTGAATCAGTCTGTTGAATCCTTCACGGAATAAACTCACTGAATCCATCAGTGTTGGTTACTGAATCAATTTGACTCATTTGTTGCTACTTTTTTGCACTTTGAGAAATTTCAATCAGTATCATTGTTACAATGAAAGGCTTACTGTCCATATGACAATGTATATTTAAAACTGCACGTGTACAACAGATATTTTAATAAACATGTATTATGCTACCCTGTACCAAAACTGCATGGTAATATTAAACTCTTAAAGGTACAGTAGCAAAAACAGCCTGTTGATTTGGAACATGGTCTGTGGAAAAGGATAATGTAGAACTAAATTATGACTGTTTTGGTGCAAGAAACCTTGACTAATATTATATGTGGACTTTGGGGGGGGCGGGGGCTACAAAAGCGCTTCTTTTTAACATTAATACGGTACTATAAACAAATGTCCCCGATGCTGGTCAATGGCCAGTCAGTTCGGTATCTCCGTCTTTTTGTCTCAGAGGATAATGGGAAATGTAGGCCGTTAGATGGAGCCGGTGGTGTCGAGTTGCTGGTGAGGTGTATGGCGGTGGTGTTGTGTGTCTGGGAGAATGTGGGTCATTTGAAGTGGTGGCTCTAAAGTGTGTTGTTTAGCCGTAAATGAGGCCTTCTCATTGTGACATGCTGAAAGGAGGGAGAAGAAAGAAGGGGTGCCTCAGGGACCGAGTAAAGTGCTCGTCTGAAGTAGAAGACCCCTACTCCCTATGCACAGTCCATACAGAGCTACTGTTGACTCCCTCACACACACACACATCTCTGTCTGCTCAAAACGACCCCCAAATATCTCTTATTTTCTCTCATTTGACTCACTCACACACAGGCATACACACACAAAGAAAGAATGAAAAGCAACCACCCTATCACACTCATTTTCCTCTTATACACACACATATAAAGAAGAACCCTTGCCTCTAGTTCTCTCTATCTGCCACACACATTGGCTTTCTTTGAACATATCTGTTAGACACTCATTCACCATATGGATGTGCTCTGACACACACACACACACACACACACACACACACCTCTTTTATCTTGAACACTTTGCATTTAACTGAAACCTCACGGCTCTATCTAGAGAGTAGGGTTGTGCTGCTTTTCTCAGTAGTAAGACATAAGTCATTTAAAAGTGCTAATTCGCATCACAGAGTAAATAAAATGAATGGTAAAATTAAATGGTAAACCTGTAAAATCAAAACTTGATGAACAAACTCTAATGGGGTGTAATCTTTTAGGATATTGTTTTTTATTTATCATAATATTTTAATATATAAATCGCCTCTGTTATGATTGGCTAATCATTGTTTACCAATATTGATGAATTCTGAAATATGGTTGTTCACGTTAATATGCTCATTATTAATATGCAGGATGTGACTTAATCATGCTGATTTCTGAACGATTTGTTTTTGTAGCTGTGTTCGCAAAAGAATAATGCACTGCATACTGTATACTAGAGCCCGACCGATATATAATTTTGCCGATATTATCGGCCGATATGAGCCTGTCGCCGATATATCAGTATCGGCGAATATGCCGCCGATATGAACATTTTTTTTACAGAACATATAACACAGATAAAATGCTTGAAATGGTGTAATTACTTAGTTTGTCCAGCAGAGCGCGCTCCATTGTTTGCTACTGGCGACCTGGATGAAACTTTTTAAAGTCTATGGAAAACCATTGAAACTTTGAACGGCCATATCTCCGTAATGGCGCGGCGAATCCGCACCAAATTCGGGGGATCCCTTCAGCTCGAGGAACCCTCTCGAACGCGAATCGAGTGTATGTCTAGAGGCCCGCTTTTGAATGTGACCACCGCGTCGATAGCCCCCGGGGTTCGGGAGTTATGGGTGGTTAAATTCTAATATCGGTATCGGTATCGGCCTCAAAAAAACCCATATCGGTCGGGCTCTACTGTATACTATGTGTAAAATTGTAAATAATATAATACTAATTCTAATAGTAGCATGCTGCATTGTTGTTTCAAAAGACGATGCTGAACATTTAAAAAAATAGCATTTTTAAAAGCCTTTTTGAAATAAAAGACAATTTGAATAATGAGTCAATAAAAATTACTTTCATCATAATGACATTGTTTTTGAAAGAAGTTACTTATGCTCACTAAGGTTGTATTTATTTGATCAAAAAAGTAAAAAAATGTGCAGCAAAATTGTGAAATAGCCCTATTATTACAACTTAAAAATATATTACTTTTTTTTTTTTTATATTTTAAATAATTTACTCCAGTGATGTCAATGCTGAATTTTCAGAAGCCATTAATCCAGTCTTTAGTGGCAAACTATCCAACAAAAATCATTCTAATATGCTTATTATGTGGTCAATAAACATTTCTTTTAAATTATTTCATTTATTGGAAAGAGTCATACTTTTTTATTTTCGGATGAATAAAAAGTTCAATAGCATTTATTTGAAATAGAAATCTTTTATAATGTCTTTGCTGTTACTTTAGATCAATTGAATGCATTCTCTTATTGTATTAATTTCTTTAAAAAAAATGATATATACAGTGGGTACGGAAAGTATTCAGACCCCCTTAAATTTTTCACTCTTTGTTATATTGCAGCCATTTGCTAAAATCATTTAAGTTAATTTTTTTTCCTCATTAATGTACACACAGCACCCCATATTGACAGAAAAACACAGAATTGTTGACATTTTTGCAGATTTATTAAAAAGCACTGTGGGACACACTATCGCAGGGATTATACACTACACATTTTTGAAATTCTTCTGAGCATTCTATGCATGCAAAAAATTGCATGCTGCATACTACATAGCAAAAGTAATATGGTAGCATTCTATTCTGTAGCCTTTGATTCCATGTGCCTTTCAATGTTTAGTCAATAAGTTAAGCTACATTGCTGGTGACAAACTGCAACAGCAAAACTTCAGATGTTGACAATGTAATATTATGTACTAATATTTGTAGAATAGCAACTGGGTTGCCAAAACAGAAGAGCAATCAGAGAAGACATTCCACAGAGGAGAAAAGCAGAATGCTACTTGTAAACTAGTATCAAATAGAGCCGAACAGCTGCATTAAGACACCACAGAGGACCAGGGGTATTAGAAAATACGGTGATACGTGCTATAGTGTGCAACACAACCAGTAAAACGAAGTTCTCAACAACTACTGCATTGTCAAACCGCAGATTTGAATGCTAATTCATCTTTAATAGCTGAAATATCACAACTGCCACAGTAAATCAACTCAAAAACAGAGCAGAGACTCTATTCGGGGTTGGAGATGCAATGTTTGGAACTCGGAGGAGGGTACAATGGTCTTCTTATTGGAAGACGGATTGAGTATATCTGCCTTGAGGGGAACCAAGATGCCATTGAGTGTCCACACAGACAGTAAAACCTCTCGAGACAATGAAATAAGTGCGGGCGAACCGAACGCATGTGTGAGAGTTTCTTGAGCGAGTATGTGTGTGTGTTGGGGGGTGGGGGGTTAGTCTGAGACAAACTTTGGCTACAGTGGAGCTCTCTGGATATCAGCCATGCCTTGTTGTTCTAAGGGAGTTTCCTGGATTGAGCAGCGCTGTCGAGCCACACTCTCTCCGCACTCACGTCAGACTTTCCACAGACGTTCACATGCACACACACGCACAATCGCACCATTTAGACGCAGCCGTCGGGAGGTGGGGTCAGAGAGCGACAGCTATGGAGTGCTGGAGGAATTTGAAAAGAAAAGGAGAAGAGGGACAGATACAATAGATGGAGTGTGAGAAGCCGAGAAGTGGTGCAAAACGTAGGGCAGGCACATGCGAGTTTGGGAAGGCATGGCAT